ACCGCTCCTCAGGAGGCTTTGCTGCAGACCCAGCACAAGGAGAAAGGATTTGGTGCAAATGGCTCATACTCACCGTCTGCAAAGTTTCTTCCTGTCTTCTGCTTTGGCTCTGTCGGTTGATAAAGGAGCGTGTCGAGAGCTTGTAATGGTTCAACAAGCAGATGATCACTACCACCATAACAGTTATAACCACAACTATAATGATGATTTGAACAAACTCCAGTTCAGCTAAAAAAAAGAAAAAAAAAAGAGGAAAATATCAATCACACACAGAACGTTACCCATCAAAGCAATAGCCTGAAAAACCTTCAGTATTTCATCAAGATTCATCTGGAGCAAGATGTTCACTGTTGCCCTATTTCCCAAAGTTTTGCGAAGAAAACTATATTCTCAAAGTATGAAAATTATTCATTTTTTGGCAGTGCACTCTGCATGAGTGACCACAGGTCAAAGCTAAGAAACTCCTTGGTGATCCTTCTCTGCAATCTTCACAAGGTAATAAATCCTTCACCATAAACACCACACTTTTTGGATAATACAACAATTTCACTGGGGGCAGGGGGAAACATCAAAAAACACACACACACAAAAAAATACACCACCATCCCCCATTTTAATAGCCACCTGCAACACCAGTGAGTCCAGAGAGCTCCATAAGCTTCAAAGCAGAGACCATGGAAAGAGGAATCAAGGACACTGTATCTAGTAAACTATCCTTAATTTTTTTTTTTTTTAATCAGCTAAATAGCATGAAAGGTACCTAAATCAATTGGAAAAACAAACTTTTTTCCTATTGAATCTACACATGGTGTCTTTTTCAATTACTTCTCTCCAACTAAAGTAAAATTAACTTTTCTAGGACATTCCCATTCAGGTAAAAATCTAAAAAGAGATCTAGTACTCTAAAACAAGATATGTTCCACTACGGTTAAAAATGAAACTGGGGCCTTGGCTGTTGCAAGAGATACAATTACAGTGAACTCCATCAGAGCCCATCATCTTATCTGAAGTCCTGCCTATACCACAAATATTAAGTATATTTAGAAATTAGTCACTTTTTGCACCCTTTTGGCTATACTGGAGCAGCAAGGATGAGCAACATAAGGGGAGAAATTGCCCTTTGGAGTTACACAGTTGCTGATATTTCTATGGAAACTGCATTGCTCACAGAGGATGCTCTCATCTTGAAGGAGAACTCCAGTTAATGGGAGGAGGTCTTTGTTTGCTAGGCTGGTAGAAAAAGCAAAGCAGCAGCGCAACTTTCTCAGTTTCAGCACTTTACAGAAAATGGCACTACTTTTGGGTGCCAAACCATCAATTTTGGGGAACCAATATTATATTTCGGTTTGAAGACGACAATGAGGAAGGATAGATAACAAGATATAAAAACAAAAAGATAAAGCAAACATCCGAAAAAACAAGCTTCCCCCCAGCTCTCCTTATCTCTTTCATTTGTAGTCATCCTCAGCCTCCTGTGTAACAGCAGTACGCTTATGCAAACACAACACGACTATGTAGCAGAGCTAGAAAAATGCTGTTCACACATAAAACCCAAAACGACCTGCAGTGGAATGAAAGGAGGAAACCCAAGGCCATTTCATTATTCTAAGATGTCTCGCGAACAGAACCTCCACCTAGAGGAGCTGCGAGTGGACTGGTGTCCGGTGGGGGCTGGCGCCCAGGTCCAGTTGTTTGTCACAAGTTACCAGCAGGCACGGACACGCCACCGTCCAAGCGCTGAGCTTCTCCAATCATCTCAGTAGGAGTAACTAAGCTTATTTAAGGCTAAGGAAAGAGTAAAGGGCAACAATACACCTATCATTTATCTTCTCTTTGCTGTTAAGTACCATCCACTCATCACTAAAACCACCAACATTTTCAGAAAATTTGATGTCAGTCCTTTGCTCTGCTTTTGCTATCAATCCCATATGCAGCAATCTTCCTCCCCTCGAGTCATTGGAAGCTAACAATGTCAGCACCAAAAGATCAAAAAGCAGGAAGCATAGAATTAATTAAAAAACAAACCCACCAAAACCGTGCTTAAGTAAAGAGTCAATTTTTCTTGGCTCAGCAGCACAGAATACAGATTTGACAACTGCTGCAATTCACATTCTGCGGCTAGTAAGTATCAAAGGGTTTCTTTACCCAAAACTTTTTTTGAGGGGGCCTATGTAATACTTTAAACTGGAAATTGAGAGACTGTTGCTAAAGGGCAACACACAAAACAGGCAATGTTGATTTAGGCTTTCCTAGAATGCAGAGATCACTGGAATGACATGTTACTTCTCTATCTGCCAAGGGCAGACTCTTCTAAATTTATCAAAGCCCCAGCATTTCAGTGGCGGGGGACGGTCCCTGTCCTTTAGAAATAAAATTATTAGGTCTGTGAGCACTTCCCTTGGAGGGAATCATCTGGAAATGTTTGACTAAAACCTAGCCATGCATTAAAAAATAAAAAAGAAAACCACAGCACACAGAATTTTCCAAGTCCAGCTTTATGTCACAAACACTACAACGCAACAAACCATCCTACTGATGTTCAGGAGAATTTCTGCACGGGAAAGCAGAGGGAAAGGAACGGGGAAGGTGATTTTTAATCTCTTTTTCCTCCTGACTGGCCCTTCTGTTACTCATTAGATTATTAACCGGAAAAAGCAGAGAG